GGGGGAGAAAAGGGCGGCCGACGCGTAGGGCTGACAACCTTGCCGCCATCTGTGAGCCGATTGTCTAGAAAACGTGGACACCTCAATATCTCACAACCCTAAGGGCCTCCAGGGCCTGTTATAGGGATACCTTTACTTTTTACTGCTTTTAAGGGAATTGGTTATATTTGAGCGTCGTGAAAACTTGGTGTTAAACTGCTACAATCCACAATCATATTCGACCAACATCTTTAGTATACTTCCGCAGTATTAAATATAACTTCAATCCACTTGGTGTAGTGAGCACATAATAGAAATTTCTGCAGGTTCCGATTCATTTCGTGTAAATTCAAACTTGTATGCGGAACTATTAGGCAAGTTGCCCCGCGTTCCCACTAACTTCTTTCTCTATTCAGGACGCGTCTCGGCTGTTATGAATCATGCGCAATCCCCATGCCGTAACACAAGCAGGAATTGCTCTACACCGCTCTGCACTGACGCTCCAAGCGGCAGAAGAAATCAATTAACACATTACACAGTGAAACAGCCTGTTGAATTGAACTGCCAGAACTGGTGTGCCACCTGATTTGACTCTTATATTAGCCGACACGTAGACGATTGTGCATAATTGTTGAATCGACGGTTATGCCAGTTGATCGAATGGCTCGTTGCACCGACAAGTCCCATGCCGAGTGGATGACGGTGGCAGCTAATTCGAACGACTGTACCAACTGTCTCTGCATATGACACGGTTGTACTAAAAGTCGGTCCTATAGGTACAGCAGTTTTATGTAATGAGGTCAGTAATTCCGAGCGTTACAGTTGTGGACGATATCGGTTATTAGTGCACTGAGTGTGGGTAATATATTTTAGTAGTGGTCATCCATAGCAGATTAACAAAGGCAAAGATTACACTGTATTTAAAACCTGCCGCAATGTTTATAGGTATTGTGTGGCTTATAGACCCATTTCTAAGCAGTGACAAACAAGGCAACAGCCGTTGCTAGGCAGCAGATTCTTAACAAGCAGCAGTTGAGCTACAGCCATGGAGGAACTGTAGGAAACGGTGCTTTCTGTTTGTCCGTGCTGAGAGGTTATAAGCGGCACCGTAGCCCCACGAATAGTAGGAGGCAACGAAAAGGGAAGTCTCGAATCTGAGAGAGTAAAATATGGTCACGACTCCCACGGGACTCGGACCTGAGAATGACTGTGCTGGTGAGGGCCAGCAACAATTGTAAACGACAGATCCGTCCTCTCGTCGGAGACAGCGCCCCACATCAACAAACCTGCAGTTATTTGACAGTAATAAAAATCTGGTCGTAAGCATCAGTTGGATGCTTTCTTACAAGATAGACTGGCCGACTGATCGTCGCTAGTAACACAAGACTCAGACTCAGACTCAGACTCAGACACAGCTTAGTTGAATTGTGGTTTAGGAATTATTGGGAGTGCGAACCTAGGTTCTTGGGATATAACCGGGCTACCCTGTTCCTGGGGTATATGAATACCTAGCGCTCCAGGTTGGGGGAATCTCGAATCCGAGACAGTAAAATGTCATGAGTCTCACGGGACTCGGACTTGAGAATTACTGCGCTGGCGAGGGCTGGCAGCAATTGTAAATGACAGACCCATCCTCTCGTCAGAGAGGATGTTACATAAGGACTATAATCGTAAGTGTTCAGTTGGGGAAAAAATTGCTGGTCACGACCAGCAAGGGGCTTGTTGCCAAGACGAACTGATTGGCCGTAAACCACCAATCATAAAGTAACTCTGACTCTGAGCATAGTTGAATTGAGGGAGATATGCCAGACGGTGAGGACAGTGTGAAGCTCCGTTACCAGGAGAGGACAAGCGAGGTGTGAGATGGCCGCCAGCTTGGGAGTTAGTTGTGAGGGAGTCTGTGAAGAAAACACGTAGAAGACTATGTGTCCTGCAGTTACAGTCATCTGTAGAGAGTGTCGCAGTGATAGTTACGTGTACTCACGAGTTGTGTGTTGAAGTGGCCAATAAATCGAGTCACGTCAGTAGTCACCCATACATGTGACTGACAGTATTATCGAATTTCTGTGAAAGTTTTCTAATTAAGGAAAACATTTGATCAGGAATACGAAACGACATTGGGAATCGCACTGCATGTGCAGGATGCCGTTTCTTAGTCACCAGAACTGACCAGCGGAAATATGAACTATGAGCGCGGAGTTATGAAATTAGTAAATTATTTCGAATGGCGGGGAATAGCTGAAATGCATACGTGGCAATGTTAACCAGTAGTACTAAAAGCTTATAAAATCTTTCGTAACGTAAGATATTATTACAGATAATTTCCAGTCTCATTGCTCCGTCGTCACTGCTGTTGTGATGCAATTGCCGAGGCGTGAATTTCGTATTCTTGTAGCCTATAGTTGTAGTGAATACTATTTCTTGAACTTAAAACGGTAAGAATAGTAACTTGTATGTCTTGCAACAGGTCCGATCATCTCCTCTTATGCAGTAGTGCGGGAAATGTGTATGTATAAGACAACATATTTGTGTTCTTTTTCCTTGGCACTACAGCCCCAGTGGGCCTAGGCATACCTCCATGAACTTCTCCATTCACTTCGGTTTTTCTAGATCTTACACATTCGGTAGGACTCCTTGGGCGGGTGATAAGCTTGTCGCAAGGCCTCTACCTGTACACAAACACAGAAAAAAAGATTAGACCGCTCGGCTACCGTGACCGGCCATATTTGTGTTTAGTACATTATAATTGCGATAGTAATGATTTTTCGTTTTCGTTAAGAAGACAGATCGGTAACATATTTACGCAGTAGTTTGAAAATGCTGAGAATTGAAGTCGGAAAGGCTGTGGGGTTCCTTTTCGAGATTCAGAAGTCGAACCGAACTATTTACGACGGTAGATTGACCTAACGTCTCTGTGGAGTAGGGAACAGTTTAAGCATTAAATTTTCAAAATTCATTTTTCATTTCCCGTCCCGTTGCTTGTATTACATTATGTTATACATTTGTGCTTCTAATGAACTACTTTCAGTAAGGCAATCATATACTGTGAACTTCTGAGGTGGAGCGACTAGAAGAGTCCTGAAATGCTGTGTGGTAATACACCTTTGAGCCGGTCACGGTAGCCGAGCGGTCTAAGGCATGCACTGTCTTCGCTCGCTTGGAAACCGGGATCGTGTGTTCGAATCCTACTGAGGGCATGGATGTTTGTGTGCGTTTTTCTGTGTTTGTCTACAGGTAGAGGCCTTGCGACGAGCTGATCACTCGCCCAAGGAGTCTTACCGTATGTGTAAGATCTAGAAAAACCGAAGTGAACGGAGTTAACGGAGGTAGGCCTAGGCCCACTGGGGCTGTAGTGCCAAGG